CTTTTTGTAGAGACAGTCTCACTGTGTTGCCAAGGCTTGTCTTGAACTCCTGGGCTCAAACATTCCTCCCCTGTTAGCCTCCCAAAGTGCTGGGATTACAGGTGTGAGCCGCCACTCCTGGCCTGTTTGTCTATTTCTACAGAGTTATCTAATGTGTTCCATTGACCTAGGTGTCTGTCCCTCTATTAGTACCACACTCTCTTGAATACTGTAGCTATGTATAATAAAACTTAACTTAAAATCAAGAGGAGTGATTCCTCCCATTTTATTCTTCTTTCCTTCTTTTCAAAAATGTTTTTAGAGATGGGTGTCTCCCTGTCACCGAGGCTGAAGTGCAGTGGTGCAATCATAGCTTGTTGTTAGCCTCTACCTCCTGGACTCAATTGAACTTCCCACCTCAGCCTCCTGAGTAGCTGGGACTGCAGGTGTGTACCACCACACTTGGCTAATTTTTAGATTTTTTTAATAGAGATGGGGTTTTGTTATGTTGCTCACCCGGTAGGATCATTTGAAGGCAGGATCCTAAAGTACTCAGCCTCAGCCTCCTAAAGTGCTGGGATCATAGGCGTAAGCCACCTCACCCACCCCCGACTTCATTCTTAAAAGGTATTTTCATTAGGTATGGAATTCTAGGGCTTTTTTTTGTTGTTGTTTTGCAGCTTCCACATGGGAGTCTAGTAACTTATTGAATCCATGGATTGGTGTGAATCATTACATCTATATTTTCAGTCTTATGTCTTCACATTTTGCCTCCAACATCTTCTTTTTCCCTCTCAGTCTGTCCCCCACATCTTTTAATCTCTCAGTTTTCCGTCTGTTTCTCTTTCTGTGCTGCAGTTCCAATAATGTCTTGCCTGTGTTTCAGTTCATTAATTCTTCCACTAGCTTTGTCTAATCTTCTGGTATATCTGAAAAATAATTTTTAAAATTTTAGGTATTATGTCTTTATTTCTTGGAAGTCTATTTGGTTCTTTTTCAAATCCACAGTTTTCTCTTTCCTGAAGATATTTTCAAGTTTGTCTTGAAATGTAATCTACTTGTTCCTTTAAACACAGAATTCAGGCTGGGCATGGTGACTCACGCCCCACTTTGGGAGGCCAAGGTGGGCAGATCAAACAAACAAACAGAAAAAAATCATAGTAATCATAATTGGTTTATAATCTGTCTGATAATGTCAGTATCTAAAATTGTTTGGGTCTGATTCTTCTGTCTGTTGTTTTTGATTCTTGTTCATGTTACCTTATGTGACTGGCTATATTTTATTCTTTACTGCTGACTAATCTTGAAAAAGCTATTTGGGTTTTTTTTGTTTTGCTTTGTTTTGGATTTTTTTTTTTTTTGAGACAGTCTCGCTCTTTTGCCCAGGCTGGAGTGCAATGGTGCAATCTCAGCCCGTTGTAACCTCTGCCTCCCAGGTTCAAGTGATTCTCGTGCCTCAGCCTCCCAAGTACCTGGGACTACAGGTATATGCCACCACATGCACTTGAGGGAGACAGGAATTCGCCATGTTGGCCAGGCTGGTCTTCAACTCCTGGCCTCAAGTGATCAGCCTACCTCAGCCTCCCAAAGTGCTGAGATTACAGACGTGAGCCATGATGCCTGGCCTATTTGTGGGAATTCACTGTGGCTCAGGATGACAATACCTTCTTGCAGAAGAAGTCACTACTGCCAGTAAATAGTGCCTGGGAGACCACTTTCAGGATTTGAAGTTCTTTTGGACCATCTAGGTGATGTTATTTTGGGCTGTAAGTCTGCAAGAGAGCTTTTAAGAACTTCTTCAGCCCTGACTCTCTCTCGCCAACCTCAAGGCAACTTTCCCTCTGTTACTGAGGGTGTGGCCCTGTAGAAGTCCCATTTTATTAGGGGACTCCTCTCTTTACCTAGAGAAAATCCAAGGCCTTTTATGTCCATTGCTTTGAAGGGCATTCAAGTTTGTCCTAATAGGCGACTCTGTTTACTCTTTCTTTTCTCTTTTTTTTTTTTTTTTTGGAAATGGAGTCTCGATCTGTTTTCCAGGCTGGAGTACAGTGGAGCAATCCCGCCTCACTGTAACCTCTGCCTCTCGGGTTCAAGTGATTATTCTACCTCAGCCTCTTGAGTAGCTGGGATTACAGGTGCCCACCACCACATCCAGCTAATTTTCGTATTTTTAGTAAAGACAGGGTTTTGCCATGCTGGCCAGGCTGGTCTTGAACTTCTGACCTCAGGTGATCTGCCCACCTCGGCCTCCCAGAGTGCTGGTTTTACAGTTGTGAGCCACTACACCTGGCCTGTTTACTATTTATTTTTCTTGCTCTATTTTAGATTTTGGACTGGTAATTTAGAATCTAGAATCTTTAGAGTATAAGTGAAGCAGTGGACAGAGAAGTATTAAGAAGTATGAAGTTCTGGCCAGACACGGTGACTCACGCCTATAATCCCAGCAGTTTGGGGAGGCTGAGGTGGGTGGATCACATGAGGCCTGGAGTTTGAGACCAGCCTGGCCAACATGGTGAAAACCTGTCTCTACTAAAAATACAAAAATTAGCCGGGCTTGGTGGTGGGCGCCTGTAATCCTAGCTACTCCAGAGGCTGAGGCAGGAGAATCGCTTGAACCCAGGAGGCAGAGGTTGCAGTGAGCTGAGATTGTACCACTGCACTTCATCCTGGTTCACAGAGAGAGACCCTGCTTCTCCGCACCAAAAAAGACTGGACGACCAGCTCCTCCCTTTCCTCCTTTGAAAGGTCTCTCAATATTTAGATTATCAGGTTTGAGAGTGGGGTTGGGAAGAGAATCAGGGCTTTGAGACCCTGAGTAATGAGCGTTTTGTGGGGTCAGACGAACCGTAGTAATAAGGGGTAGGGACTACCACTAGCTACATCAAAATCTCGTGCCTCTTTTCCTTTTCAACCTGCCAGACCCACGGTCTGCATTAAATCACATGGATTGCCAGAAACCTTTGAGGAATGATGGCTCTTAGCCTCTTAGAAATGTAAATTAATCCTATCATATGCTCTCCATTGCTGAAAGATAGGGGGATCTTTTGTTAATTTTCTCCAAGTATATTGATAACTCTAGAGCTGGAATCTTAAGACTTGTGGGTTTGTTTTGAGACAGGCTCTCACTCCGTCACCCAGGCTGGAGTTGGAGTGCAGTGGCACAGTCGCAGCTCACCACAACCTCCACCTCCTGGGCTCAAGTAATCCTCCCACCTTAGCCTCCCACATAGCTGTGACTATAGGGGTGCATTGCCAAACCTGGCTAATTTTTGTATTTTTTGTAGAGACAGCATTTTACCATGTTGACCAAGTTGGTCTTGAACTCCTGGGCACAAGGGATCTGCCTGCCTTGTCCTCCTAAAGTGCTGAGATTATAGGCATGAACCCCTGCACCCAGCTCTTTTTTATTCTTATTCTTCAATTTCTCTATGCCCATACTGGGGTACTGTCAAAGAGGAACAGAGCTGGCCATTTGTTAAAGGCACCAAGACAGATTTTATCAGATTACTGCAGTGTAGGAGAGAAACTCCAACATAAACTGAGCTCAGCTCCACTGAATTAATCCTAAGAAGGATTAACACAAAAGATGGAAACACAAAAGATGGAAAGTTTTTTAAACATTGGGGTGTTCTCATGGATACAGGGAGGGGAACATCACATATTGGGGCCTATTGGGAGGTGGGGGAACTAGGGGAGGGATAGCAGGCTGTGGGGGGATTAGGGAGGGATAACATTAGGAGAAATACCTAATATAGGTGACAGGGGGATGGATGCAGCAAACCACCATGGTATGTGTATACATGTAACAATCTTTTTCTTTTCCCAGCCGCATTGTTCATCATGTTAATGCAAGTTCTTTTTTAGGTATCATCTTTATCAGAAAGTGAAGAGTCCCAGGACTCATCTGACAGCATAGGCTCCTCACAGAAAGCCCACGGGATCTTAGCACGGCGCCCTTCTTACAGGTGAGTACTCTCTTGTATCCAATCCTGCATGTTTTAATAGTACCAAATGAGTTCAAGTGGTGCTGTGCAAAGCACACTGAAGAAGGCAGCACATATAAGTGTTAAGAATGAAATCGGGTGGCCCTTGCCTATAATCCCAGTTCTTTGGGAGGCTGAGGTAGGTTTGCTTGAGCCAGGAGTTCAAGACCAGCCTGGGCAACATGGTAAGAACCCCGTCTCTTCAAAAAATACAGAAATTAGCTGGGCAGAGTGGCGCACCCCTGTAGTCCCATCTACTTAGAGGCTAAGGTGGGAAGATGGCTTGAGTCCGGGAGCTTAAAGTTACAATAAGCTATGCTCATGTCACTGTGCTCCAGCCTAGCTGGTTGAGCAAGATCCTATCTCCAAGAAAAAGAATGAAATTGGACCTTCGGCTGGGAGCAGTGGCTCACGCCTGTAATCTTAACATTTTGGGAGGCCAAGTTAGGTAGATCACCTGAGGTCAGGAGTTTGAGACCAGCCTGGCCAACATGGTGAAACCCTGTCTCTATTAAAAAGACAAAAGTTAACTGGGTGTGATGGTGTGCACCTGTAGTCCCAGCCACTTGGGAGGCTGAGGCAGGAGAATAGCTTGAACCCAGGAGGCGTAGGTCATGCCACCACACTCCAGCCTGGGCAACAGAGGAAGACTCCATTTCACAAAAAAAAGAAAGAAAAGAAGTAAATTGGACCTTTATCTTATACCATTACACAAATCAATGCCAAATGGATAAAAGACCAAAATGTTAAGACCTGAAACCGTAAAAGTCCTAGAAGAGAACATAGGGATAAGCTCTTCAACACTGACCTTGGCAATGATTTTTTGGATATCACACCAAAAGCTCAGGCTGCAAAAGCTAAAATAAGTAAATGGGACTACATCCAACCAAAAAAACATTTCTGTTAAAAAACGAAAACCAAAAAAAAAAAAAAAAAATGCTTCTGTTTAGCAAAGGAAACAAGCAACAAAATGAAAAGGCAATTATTTGCAAACCACTTACCTGATAAGAGGTTAATATCCATAATTGAAGATAAAGTTAGAGAACTGGAGATACAGCTCTGAGTAGATTACCTAGAATGGAACACAGCAAGACAAATAGAAGTTAAGAGAGACAGAAGACAGACTGAGAAAGTCCAATACACAACATACATACATAAAAGGAGGGAAGGGCACTTCCAGCTTCTGGTCTCCCCAGGAGAGAAAATAATAATGACTGTAATTTCCAGGATATGAATTTCTCAGCATAAGAAAGCAAAGTCCCAAACAAGATAAATTAATAGAAACCTACATCTAGATGTGTGTTATGAAGTAAAATTGGAGAACACCAGGGATAAACATGAGATCTTGAAAGCGAAAAGCTTCTGGGCCGGGCGCAGTGGCTCACGCCTGTAATCCTAGCACTTTGGGAGGCCGAGGTGGGTGGATCACTTGAGGTCAGGAGTTCAAGACCAGCCTGGCCATCATGGTGAAACCCCATCTTAAAAAAAAAAAAAAAAAAAAAAAAAAAAAAAAAAAAAAAAAAAAAAAAAAAAAAAAAAAAAAAAAAAAAAAAAAAATAAAACCCCAATTTAAAAAAAAAAAAAAAAAAAAAAGAAAGCTAAAAGCTTCCAAGAGAAAAGACCAATTACCTAGAAAGGAATGACCAATAGGCTGAAAACAGATTTTTGAAGTGTAGCATAAGACAATGAACTAAAATATTTATTTTTGTTTTTAAATTATTACATAATTTTTTTTCCCTTGTTTCAAGTTTTAATCGAACCTTGTATATAAAAGATTACTTTATTCCCGCATCTTCTCAATTGTTTCTTCCTTGTATTCGCCCTTTTCCTTTCCTACTTGGCGAGATTTGGCGTTCTGTTCAAGGATCTTTTTGCGGTCTTTGTCCAGTTTTAGCCTAGTGATAACCACCTTGCTGGGGTGAATGCCTACATGGACAGTTGTGCTATTAGCCTTTTCCTGCTGCACCCGTTCAATGTAGATTACGTATTTCTTCCTGTAAACCTGGACTACTTTGCCAGTCTGCTGACCTTTATAGTGTTCTCATATAACCTGAACTTTCGGATGGGCATGGATCGCACCTTGTACTTTTGTCTCAGCTCTTTGGAAAGAGGGGAGGACATAATCTTCCTGTGAATGTGGAAAGGTGCATTGAAATGCCTTTTGCGATTCTTGCTTTGGTCGGAAGTCACAAAGGGATTGAACTTCATTTTGGCAGCTCCTGCTTAGGTATTTATTACATAATTTTTTGGAGACGAAGTCTCATCCTGTTGCCCAGGCTGGAGGCAGTGGTGTGATCACAGCTCACTGCAACCTCAATCTCCTCAGTTCAGCTCCTCAACTTCCTGAGTACCTGGAACTATAGACATATGTCACGATGCCCACCTAATTTTTTTTTTTTTTTTTTTGAGATGGAGTTTCGCTCTTGTTACCCAGGCTGGAGTGCAATGGCATGATCTCGGCTCACTGCAACCTCCGCCTCCTGCGTTCAGGCAATTCTCCTGCCTCAGCCTCCTGAGTAGCTGAGATTACAGGCACGCACCACCATGCCCAGCTAATTTTTTTTTGTATTTTTAGTAGAGACGGGGCTTCACCATGTTGACCAGGATGGTCTCGATCTCTTGACCTCGTGATCCACCCGCCTCGGCCTCCCAAAGTGCTGGGATTACAGGCGTGAGCCACCGCATCCGGCCCACCTAATTTTTTTAAAGTTTTGGTAGAGATGGAATCTCATTATGTTGACCAGTCTGGTCTGAAACTCTTGGGCTCAAGTCCGCCCATCTCAGCCTCGCAAAGTGTTAGGATTATAGGCATGAGCCACTGTACTCGGGCTCCCATATTTAATTGAAAAAGAAAGTAACTTTTGACCTGAAATTCTGTGCCCACCTGAACAGTCTTTCAAAAATGACGGTGAAATAATCGTTTTCAAACTGATTTAAGAAACTACATAAGAGGGCTGGGCGCAATGACTTACGCCTGTAATCCCAGCACTTCGGGAGGCTGAGGTGGGTGGATCACTTGAGGTCAGGAGTTTGAAACCAGTCTGGCCAACATGGTGAAACCCCATCTCTACTAAAAATACAAAAATTAGCTGGGCGTGGTGGCACATTCCTGTAGTCCCAGCTACCTGGGAGGCTAAGGCACGAGAATTGCTTAAACCTGGGGGACGGAGGCTGCAGTGAGCCGAGATGGTACTGCTGCACTCCAGCCTGGGTGACAGAATGAGACTCCATCTCGAAAAATAAAAGAAGCTGCTTAAGTGTATACTTGAGGAAGAAGAAAATGGAAGGAATATGAATGTAAGAAACAGTGGCGAAAAAAGCAATTCATTTCAGTTAGCATTGGCTTTTTAGAACAATAGTAGTAACGATTAATTTGGGCAGTTTTGTGGAGTTTTTTGAGACAGGGTCTCACTCCATCACCCAGGTTGGAGTGCAGTGATGCAGTCATGGCTCATTGCAGCTTCACCCTCCTGGGCTCAAGTGGTCCTCCTGCCTCAAACTCCCAAGTAGCCAGGAATACAGATGCACACCACTGTGCCTGGCTAATTTTTAATTTTTGTAGAGACAGGGTCTCACTATATTGCCTAGGCTGGGTGTCAAACTCCTGGGTTCAAGCAATCCTCCAGCCTAAGCCTCTCAAACTGCTGGGATTATAGGCAACACACCTGGCCAATTTGGGTGGTTTTTCAATAATGGAAGGAAATATACCAGACAGGAATTGTCTGTTGGAGTCTTATGTTGCTTACCTTTAGACTTAACCTTAGACTTTTAGGGGCAGCCACCAAAAAAATACAAAAAAAAAAAAAGCTTAATTCTTAATGGGGCTCTCCCAGTACAGAACAGTGAGCTCCTGGATAGAATATTTATTAATGCATTGTGCACTTACAGGAAATAATGATAATCTCTTATCTCATTCCCTCAACAGATATAAAAACCATATACATGCAAATACATGCATTAAAACCAAAATGGGGAACAGAAACAAGCTTGTAACAGGGTCCACTCGTTATTTTCAGTCAGCTGCAGGAAGGAACTCTGAACCTGAGATTTCTTTATTAAGTAGGGGTCTCTCATAGAGGCTAGAACATCTGAAAAGAAACTTCTCAAAGATTAGTATAAATCAAATATGAATTCACTCAAAAATCATCAAACGTGCAAGGACATAAACGACCATAAGTGAGAATTGGCAGAAACAATACCGTCAACTCAATAAATGCTAGGGAAAAAAGTATTTGATTAAATCCAGCACCTACTAATACATTTCTACCAAAAATCAATAAAAATGGGCTTCCCTAGCATATGTAGACTTTTAGAACTTAACTGTGTATAAGATGGATCACCACTGCCCAAATTCTAGACTGGCCACTACCTGGTGCACATGTGTAATTGATATGAATAGCATTGCAAAGACTTTGGAAACTGAACTGACATTGGAACCACAACTTACAGAAGGATGGTCAGAACTTGTGGCCTGGACACAACCAGATTGATAACTTCTAAAACAAGAATGTAGGCTAGGTGTGTGGTATGGTTCATGCCTCTAGTCCTAGCACTTCAGGAGGCCGAGGTGGGAGGACTGCATGAGTCCAGGGAATTGAAGCCAATCTGTGTAATATAAAGAGATCCCATCTCTACAAAAAAAAATACAAAAATTAGCTAGGCATGGTAGTGTGCACCTATAGTCCCAGCTACTTAGGAGGCTGAGCAGGGAGGCTCACTTGAGCCCAGGAAGTTGAGGCTTCAGTGAGGCATGATCCTGACTCTATGTCTCAATAAATAAATAAGCGAGACTGTCCAAATAAATAAAATAAGAATATACTTGATGGCCGAAAACAGAAATTACGACATTCTGAAGGGGTTTTCAACATATGCAGAGGTAATAGATAAGACATTTACAACATAAAGAGGGAAGGATAAACATATCTAATATGGTGGTAAGGTTTCTACATTCTACCTGAAGTGGTGGTAAAATACTAATTCTA